TTTTGCTGGGCTCTGGCATCAGAAAATGCTTTTTCTGCAAATATTTTGGATGTTCATCAAGTGTCAGGGTTTATAAAGGGAATTTTAGATTGAAAAGCTGAGTTAAGGAACACAGCTGTTACTGGGTTTTTTACAGCCTCTGAGGCTTGGCCAACTGGAAAAGCACTAACGCCGTTTTATAATAAACCCTCGCTTGTGACTGTTTCTACTGATTCTGAAGCATTCGGATAACCTTGGAGCAAAAGCAATAGGGAGAGTTCAGCTTTGATGGTTTGTTTTGAATTCCAGAGGCAGGGATGAACCGGGTTCTCCATATTTTCCTCAAAACCATAACACAGACATCGCTAACCATAATTCCCATGTCTGCCCCAACGTGGGAGCTCAGTTCTTCCCTGCAGACTGGGGGAGGCTTCGTTTTCTCTTTCTATGGAGAGCGCTTGTAAAAAACTTCAGCCGAATTGCCTTCCCCTAGACTGGTTTGTATGACCGCAGGGCCTCACCCTTCTGGTTTTGTGGGAGCCTGTGCTGATCAGCACAGGCTTGGGTGAGCTCTCATGCTCTCCCCTCTTTCGAACACAAATAAATCCCCTCTGTCAGCATCAGCTGAGAAAACGGGCAGGGGCAGGGGCATGGGCATGAGCAGGACGGATGTTGGCTGAGACTCTGGAGTGCTAATCCTGCAGCAGGAGCAAGGGCTTCCCAGAGCAGGACAGACCGTGGAGGTGAAAGGCTACAAGGAGACAAGGTGCTGTGTTGTGGAAACTTCCTTTCCCTCATTCCCAAGCTGCACTGTGTACTGCCACTGAAAGTAGCTGCCAGCAAGAATAGCTCCAGCTTTTCCCTGCAAAAGGCACACAAGGCCACTTAAGTTTTAATCTCCTGCAAATTAAAAAGGCAAAACAAATAAATCCCCAAGACGGGGAACCAGGCTCATGCTGGAGGGAACACAGGCATTAATGAAGATGTTCCAGTCATCTCAGCAATGGCAGAGGGGGCAGTAAAACGTGCCATTTCTAGCATTCAGGGTCAACCTATGGGATCTGCTCCAGGGTATGATCCCCCAGGGCAAAAGTCCTAGACACTGGTGCCACCTTGGCACCTGCCCACTTGAGAGATGAAGGCTCTGGGAGGTGTTTTTTGAATCTATGTAGCAGTTGTGTAACTCTTCACTTGTGTTCTTCTCTATCCATGGAAAATGAACCAAGGAACAAGAAAACCTTGGCATAACCACATCTCTACAATGAATGGCACCACTGACTTGGGCCCTTCTCTGCCACCACCATCACGGGCTGAGGGGAGCTGTGACAGTGAAGCAAGGAGCACGCTGGAAGCTCACGGCACAGCAGGGGACAGGGACCTCCTTGAAAAGAAAATTAATACCCACAGGGTCCGTCTGTCCCCACCCCCCAGTCCTGGGGAGCAGGAGCTTAGGGCACTCTGGGCATCCCCCGAATAATGGTGACAAAGCAAAAGGGCCTGTAGGAGTTTGCCCCTCACCACTCCCCATCGCAGAACAGGGGAACGGACCCTTGGAGCTCACGAGTCAGCTGCTCTTCAAACGTGAAGTGAGACTAACAAAGCCCCGCAAGGCACAGAGGCGGGAGGGACTGAGACTGGAGGGATGGAGAGGGAGTTTTTAGAAGTTCTTGTTCCTAATAGGATCCTTCTGGAGCTAAAGGCAAAACCATAGTACCAAAGTGCATGATGCACAAGACCCAGTGAATGAACCCTACTAAACCCAATAAACAGCCAGCGCAAACATGTCCCACAACAACATATGCAGTCACAAGCTTCAGTTCTGATTTCACTCTCAGCAGCACCTCCTGCTTCAGTGCCCCTCCGCAATGTACCTTCACCCCTTCGTTGTAGCTGTCCACCGGACTGTTGAGGCTGGCGAGGCTTCCCAAATGGCTGGGGGCTCCGGGGCGAGGAGGCTTCTTTGGTGGAGCTGCATGATCTAGTTGACAAAACATTTGACACTTACTAAAGGATTAGCGCGCTCAGTTCTCTTGGATTTACAAGCAGCCGAGGCAGCAAACACTGCAGTAAATCAGTATGTTCTTAAAGCCCTTCCACAATGAAGAGAATACATTTGTTTCGATAAGGTCTCAAAAATCTAGTATAAATGTTCAAAACAGGGCCAGGGTACAGCATCTAAAACATCTTCAGAGGCATCAGGCTCCTCTTGACGTGACAGATGAGAGCTGCTAATGACCTGCACCTCTGAAAATCAGCCTAATTTCACCTTCTTACCCAATACCAGATACCTTGTTTGAAAGAATCTGGCAATGCCATTATATACTGCTGTGGTGTTAAACCCTACTGTGTCATTTCGGAGGTCTGAAGAACTGTACCAAGGATCGCAAGCTTCAGACTTTATGCTGATGATATGGTGAGTTTATGACTTACCTGGTTTTCCCACAGGCTGATATATGTGCTGGTTACCAGCCTGTAACAGAAAAATTAAGATTAGTTGAGTAATTATAGTCACTGAGTTTACAACTCAGGATCCTCAATATGAAGCTAGCGGTTTTGATCTTAAATCACTCGAATTATAAGAATTCCAACCACGGACCATCCAGAAAGATATTTCCCATTCCCCATCACTTTAAAGCAGGGGTGTCCAACCTTTTTGAATGTGGGGCCAGATCACAAACTTTTTATCACCCAGTGGGCCGGCGAGCCATATTCAAAGACCTCACAGGAAGCAGTATCACATCAGGAAGTGATGTCACGTGATCTTTGACACCAATGAAGTTGCAGGGGTTAACATGGCATGCATGCCCGGGTTGACATGGTGCTGCGGAAGCCGCTTGGCTACAACTGGGTTGACCTGGTGCTGGAGAAGCCACGGGGCCAGGCCGGGGTTGACCTGGGGCCCACCTGGCCTGCTGGTGCCATGCCCGGGTTGACATGGTGCTGCAGGACCCGCCTGGGCAGAACCGGGCCGGCACCAGCCAGGAAAAGCAGCATGCACCTGAAGTTGGCTTCCCATGTGCTGCTGGGGACGGGAGGAGGCCGGCCAGGTCTGCACCGGCCAGCAGAAGCGGTGGCAGAGCCGTGTGCCGCTCGGGACTAACCGGTGCAGGCTTGTCCCATCCCAAGCGGCACACGGCTCCACCACCACTTCTGCTGGCCAGTGCAGACCCAGTCAGGTTCCTCCCGTCCCCAGCAGCACATGCGAAGCAGCCCCCTCGGGGCCTCGTGGGTGGTTGGCCAGGCCCGGAGAGCCACAGTGCCTGGGGGAAGACTGGCTGGGGGAGCAGGCACCGCCTTGCTGTGGGGCAGGGCAGGGCAGGGCAGGGCAGGGCAGTGGGGCTGGCTTGAAGCAGGCGGATGAGGAGGCAGGCGCGGGCCGGCAGCGCCAGTGGCCGCTGCTTGGCGTCCCGCGTGGGGCCACTCCGGCAGCGCAGGGCATGGGCACGGGCTCGTGTCAGGGCGGGGAGGTGGGGGCAGGAGCACAGGCGCTCCCAGATGCGCATCCTCCCCGCCAGCGACTGGATGCAGACCCCCATCCTCAGCCGTGCAGGCTACGTTAGCAGGACCTGAACCTCCAAGGAGGCGGCCAGATGTACAGCGACCCTGGGCTGGGCTCCTCCTGCCTTGGCATCCAGCCCAGCTCCAGCCCCGAGGCACCCCCAGCTCCGTGTGGGAACTTACCCGGTGCCTCCATCCACCGCGCATGCGGGCAGGGCACAGGCCATGCTGCAGCTCCCCCGGCCACACGCCGGGGCCAACGGACGGAGCCAGAGGAGAAATTGCAGGTGCTATCCCCAGCTCATCCAGCCAGGCACGGCTGGGGCAGCCCCACACCACACAGCCCTTGGGGCAGCGGTGGT